GTAGTGTCTTGGAGATAGCTGGGGGTTTTGGTTGTGTAGGGTTTGAGAAGAGAATCTACATAGCTGGATAAACCAGTAGTGAGCGTGCCGATACCAGAGATGATGGGACGTCCGGGGTGTCCAGGTTTATGGATTTTGGGAAGCAGATAGAACAATCCTGGTCAGGGGTCAGAAGGTGTTTCTGTGTGGATTTGTTCCCGAGTAGCTGTAGGGAGACTTTTAAGGAGTCAGTGTAGTTTCTTTTGGTATTCCGAGGTGGGATCAGAGGAGAAAGGTTTGTAAAATGTGGTGTTGGAGAGTTGTCTGGTTGCCTCCTGGTTATAGTCGGCCTTATTCATAATGACCACAGTACCCCCTTTGTCAGCTGGTTTGATTATAATGTCCAGGTTGTTTTTGAGACTCTGGATGGCATGGTGTTCAGCGCGGCTGAGATTGTGTGTCTGGCCCACGAAAGCTCATCACCTAATAAACCATCTTGTTAGTCTTTAAAGTGCTACATTGTCCTGTTTTTTGTTTCAGCTACATCAGACTAACACGACTGCATTTCTATCACTATTATGAAAAATGTTATTTATCTGAAACCCCAATATTTCATAAACATTCAATGGAAAATTTTCAGCCAGTCCTATTAACATGTCTCATCAGTTTCAGCATGAACATAACAAGCAAACAGCCGTTTAAAGAATAGGACATGAAAGGAGTAGAAAGGATGGGAACTGTGTTCTAGATGAGGTTTTCAAAAGCACAAAGGTCAATGGCAGTTGACTGCCCACCTGGTCTTGGAGCCTTTGAAAATCTCTTATTTATGCTCTGGAGTTTATCTTTAACCAGGAAATCCTTTGTAAAGAAACAATCATGTGGCTTGTTCTGCAGATGGATCAGTGATGATATGTGTACAGCTAGGTCCAAATGACTTCCAGGTGTTTGATTTCTTTCTTTCTACTATCTAGTCAGCCAGCATTTGTGTGTATGTGTATGTGTGTGTACACTCTGTTTTTTTGTTTTTGTCTTTGATTTTTCTTGGAAGTAGGGACGAAGTGAGCCAAGGTCCATGAAGACAGGTTGGCAGGTTTGTTTCCTTCCTTCCTTCCTTCCTTCCTCCCTCCCTCCCTCCCTTCCACTGAGCTATTATCAGTATCACTATTGAGCAAATGGGTCAGCTGATTTTACTATGGTCAGTAAAAATTGTTGTTTGGTTGGGTTTTTTTTGCTCAGAATGACGTAGTTATTTAAGTTATTTTGTTCTTGTTTCTGAAATGCTGCTTAACACTGTACTTCTACCTCCTTCCCCATCAGAAAATTTCATAAGGAAAAAAAAGGAACTTCTGTAAAACAGTGTCATTAAGGATTAGTTAAGATTACACAAGCACATAAACCACCAACACAACCTCCCCCAAAACCTTGGAAACAAATTAAGTCCTCACCTACCCATTACAATTTACAACCACGGTTTCACCTTTATCATACTTCATTGCCCATATCTACTCAGAAAACACATGTCCTTCTCCATCCATGGAAAAGATGCAATCTGTAGCTTGGCCTTGCAGATGTTTTAGAAATAAATATTCTCTGATTGTTTGGATAACAACCTGGTACTGGTATATACTGGCTTTACAATGGATGGTTGGTGTGTATGGTGCAGTTTTTAAGTTGATGTTTAAGAGGCGTGATGGATAGAAGTTGTGTTTAAGTGGAAAAAGTTTGTATTAATGTTTACTATTTGGGGAGATTTTTGTCTGTAATGTGTATAGTGGTGTTGTTTGGGTAGTGTGACAAGGTGTGTTTATTTTTTTCAGTAGTCTGTGGTCAGAGGAGGTGGAAGTATAATGTTAAGCAGCTTTTCAGAAACAATGAATTTGCCCATGAAGGCAGAAGTCATTTGTACCGTAGATGGTGTATATGGACAAGGTAATGCGAGGAAAGCAAAACCATCTCTGTAGGTTCTAAAAAGTTAGTGGGGACTGAACTAATGTTTTTCTGGTTATTACGGCTTTGTTGTAATCATACATTTTATGAAGCACTGAATGGGAACGTTGCATATTGCAGGGAGCAGTGCCATATGGACCCAAAGGAGAATGAGCAGGGATGTTGCTGAATGATGATAGCCACTGTTGGAAACAGGATCAGACAGAACAATTTTATGTTCTGTTGTTGGAACTTTATGTTCCGGAAGCAGTTGCACTTTCTAAGGGTAACTGCAAGGAGGTTTACAGGATCTGTTGAAAAAGGCTTTCTTTCTCGACAGATCCCCCTCTAGACTGCCGCTTTTTGCCTACAAAGTGCTGAGTTGGCAAACGCAATGGCTTTTTTTATGCAAATTAGACACGGGATATTTAAATCTCTGCCTCATTTGCAATTTCGACCTGCCTAATCTGCATCCCTCTGCTGTCAGAGGGATGCAGTCTAGACATACCCTAAATGCCCTTAACTATATGTACTTAGAGGGGTTAATTTTCATACATGGACCACTTAGGAGACTTGCACAAGTCTGCTTCCACATACCATGATGAAGCTTCATTAGTTAATATTAATATATCTCACTGGCTGGCTCTTGATTGTGTTGTCTACAGCAAACTTCAGAAAAGAGCTTTATATCTTGTGCTGTAACTACACCTATACTGAAATGATAGCTGGGCATTTCGCAAATCCTCTCTGTAGTTCTTGAGCATCTTTTTTTAATAGCACTTTAAATCTACTTTGATGTGTGCTCAACTGAGAGGTTTTAGTTTTCAAAAATGATATTCAATTATTTTCCCTCATACTGCGTATTTGATGGAGTATCAGTGCACAGTTTCACATTACAAGTGCCCTACATAAACAATGAGTTCTCAAGTGCAAACTGCAAGTAAGTGATCACATATTAGCATAACATAATGAATGGAAATAAAACATTTGGGTTATTGCATTCTCTTGCCAGGATCTATTATTGCCCAAACTACTGTATATAATCATAATTCTGACTGTAGAAAAAAGGAAGACAAAAGATGTGAGGACTGAAACAACCTTTCCTATCCTCCCCGCAAAAATCTTCTAGTCTTATGGAATTAACTCCATGATTAAGACTGGAAAACAAAATAAAACCTCTAGGCTGGATCATGAGTTGCACTACCTGAGAGGTGTATCACAAAAGGCACAGATTGGGGGAAATAAAAGGATTGTTAAGTTATCTTTGTGCTTCCTGGGTTCTTCTTGAGCTGGGCAACAGTGTAGCCCATAATACAGGTTCCCCGTTATTGTATATGGGCTGCTCCTCAATCTAGAATGCATAAGCACCAACTTCTTCTCTACCCAGGTGGTGTTCGACCCCTCCCCCCTCCATACCAGGCACTCCTCCATTTCATCTTGTCCTCCAAGCCCCTTCCCCCACACTGTCCTTGGCTCTGCCCCTTTACACTCCTTCTCTCAAGGCCCTTCTCCCATCCACCTCTCCCTGCCCCCATTCTGCCTTTTCCTACTCGGTTCTGTACCTAACTCCAGCACCTCTCATCCCTGCTCCTCTCCTTCCCTACCAGTGCTTCCTGCATGCCATTGAACAGCTGTTCTACTGTGTGTAGGAGGCACTGGGAGAGAGGAGGAGGACTTGGTAGGCAGAGCCACTGGCAGACAGAGCACTATATGTGAGGGCAAAACACCCCACTAATTTTATTCTGTGAGTGCCATCCAGCCCTGGAGCATGCACAAAGTTAGTGTCTATGCTAGATTCACTATTTCATATAACACTACAGATACGTATTTTCCTGTTCTAGCCTAACAGAGGCATGTGAGTCTTGTGCAGCTCTTCCAGAAGGGGAGTTCCCCTGGGATTTGCTAGTCTTTGTCAGTAATTGGATCCCATACTTGGGCCTCTGCAAACTTAGAGGCATTTCCCTCCCAGTTTCCCCATTCATAATAACAAGGACAATAATACTTATTTACTTAAGGCACAGTGGTATTGTCTATAGGGCTGTGTCTACATTGGGCCACTTATTCCGGAAAATCAGCTGCTTTTCCGGAATAAGCTGCAAAGCTGTCTACACTGGCCCTTGAATTTCCGGAAAGCAACGATGCTCTACTGTACAAAATCAGCCGCTATTCTGGAAAAACTATTCTGCTCCCGCTCGGGCATAAGTCCTTCCTTATTCCGGAACACTGTTCCGGAAAAGGGCCAGTGTAGACAGCCCAGTAGTCTTTTCCGGAAAAAAGCCCCGATCACAAAAATGGCGATCGGGGCTCTTTTCCGGAAAAGCGCGTCTACATTGGCCACAGACGCTTTTCCGGAAAAAGGGCTTTTCCAGAAAAGCAGCCTGCCAATGTAGACGCTCCTTTTCCGGAAAAACTGAAAATGGAATAGTATTCCATTTTAAGCATTTCCGGAAATTCATGCCAGTGTAAACACAGCCTAGGAGTACAGATTAAGGACCCAAGCTGGAACTTGTGTGGCTGAAGAATAAAGTCTGCTGACAGCATATTTCCCACATGTTAAAATTTAAAAAAAAATTGTGACAAATTGCAATTTCCTGTAATATACTGGACAAACTTGATGAACAAAGTGTGATGATTGGGATAGCCAGAGGATTTTTACAATTTTTATACAATGACAAATAATTAATAACAATTACTATTTTGTACTTTTATTATTGAAAAAGCAATGCCTAATATTTTCTATCTACAGGGGCATATTTTTTCAAATAAATCCAGAAGTGATGTGGTGTGAGGCTACAATGCCACAAAGGACTCTATGCAGGAAAACCCCTTTCCCCACATGACGCCCTGCTATAGTTAATGCAGCTCCATACAGGTGCAAGGCTTTATAAGAACATTTAGAAATCTTTTCAACTCTCAAGCAACTGTTCTATTATGTCATGCTTTAAGGCATCTCTCTCTCTCTCTCTCTCTCTCTCTCTCTCTCTCTCTCTGTGTTGTAGTGCTATAATCTTCAGATGAGTTAAATGATGTATTTAAAGCAACAGAAAATAGCAGTGGCTGTTTTTCAGCTGTACTGGATTAAGAAACTCTCCTACCTGTATTGTAATGTTTGGTGCAATAACATAAATCTTTCTCTTCTTTCAACAGAAACTGTGGCAGAGTGAGCCCGTCTGCTACCTGTACAGCTCCTTTTTCTTGCCATTCAAAAATGAGATCATTCATTGTGTATCCAACTAGAAAAACAAACAGATCAACAATCAATAAATCCACTGCATAGTTTTTAATATACACGTGATGTACCAAATACAGATATCCTACACAGACAATATAAGATGAGAAACATAGCAGGTTCCATTATATCTGTCAGCCACAGGGGATCAGCACTCATCTCAATCATGCAGATGTAGACTGACAGTTATGTATATGGATGCTCCTGAAAACATATGGCCAAACAGACTGAGGGTGAGATTTGAAAAATTCCTAAATTGGATGCCTAACTCCTTCAGGTGCTTTTGAAAACTCCACCCTTTGTTTAGGAAGGAAGTACAGGCCCATCCATTTAAATTTTGTGAAGTTATAAAGTAGTTTTGAAATAGTGCCTTATACACCCTTTTTATTTTTCCTGGATCCTAATTGCTCAAACAATCTAGGCTCCAGCCAGATGGAGGTGTACAAGTGGAGTCCAGCAGTTTTCTTTGCAAGGTGCTGCAGCCATAGTTGGTTTGAAAAGACTTTTTTTTCTTTGATGCAGGTAAAAGACCAGAAAAAAAATTGTGATTAACTGACAAATTACTATTAGACTGATAATATTCCTATATTTCTGCCTCCCTATCCCCACAGCTGTATGTGTAAAAACAAACAAAAGAAGTTCTGTTTGTATCATACTTGTAGCTGTAGGAAGATTACTGTATAATTCAATTCTAGTAACTGTTTACACAAAATCAATGGTGTAACCATTCGTGTCACGGCCAGACAGTAGAAATATTAACCCAGGGTCAGTTTCTAGCTGACTAAGGAGCAGGTGGCTAAGTTGAGGGAGAGTACAAGTTGCACAAACCATGTCCAGTAGCTGGCTGAAATCCCATTGGCTTAAATAGCCCCTACTACTGTATCTTTGTGCACTACAGGGTGTTGGCTTTCTGAAAGTAATTGTGGAGGTACAAAGTGTGTGTGAGGACATGTTCCTATCAGTTCTCCCTCTCTCCACTCCCATGTTCCAGAAGTGGCTGGATGAGCATCTAGGAGAATGTTGTACCCTGTGTGAGGGCAGCAAAGTTACTGCTCCAGTATG